GTCTAGGGCTACACTATCACAGTTGATTTTCTTGAAGTCACAAGGACCAAATTTTCACCATATCCTCACAAGGTTTTACAATCTCAAGTGTTTCAAAGTACAACCACCTGTCTATATCAATATTCTTCACAAGAACTACCTCTTTGCCCCCAATATAGTGAATCATGGGGTCCACTCAAAATGACCCCCGCGATTAATAATAGCATTGAAAGTCATCTACATACAAAAAGGAACAAATATTCGTAAACCTTAACCCTCAATAATCAAATCGAATAACACTTAACTTCAAGAATATTCAGAACGGTGCTTCGTAATACTATTTGCTCAATACTGGGTGCTTTCTAAAACAGAAAAGGGTCTCGCCTATTTATTGCAACAAAATGTCACCTCTAGTAACACTTCTCCTTCATGAACAACCAATCACCAACAACAATGCCTGGGAAACAAGCAACAAACAACAATGCGAATGTTTATTTTCAAAACAAAAAACAATGAAGATGAAGATGAAGATGAGAAAAAAAATTGAATTTCAGATAAGAGATTCAACGATTTTTGCTTTGTATTCTGAAAATTTTTTCTTAAAAATGAAGATTGAAAAAACGTCCATTTACAACTTTAGTGTTCCTTCCTTCAACACTACGATCTTAAATTTTTTATGTTTTTTATTTTTTTTTAAAAAGTAAAATACTAATATGGATTCGTAACGTGAAAATTTAAGTGTGAGGTAGAGGAAAGAGATTGAGGGTGACGTGACAAATTGTGAGTTACATGACCATTTAACTGACAAAGGTTAACGTCAGGTACAAAATTGAAAAAAAAATAATTAAGTATTAAAATAAAAAAATTTAATAGGTAGTGATTTGAAATAACCCTATTTAGAGGTAGTTAAAATATATTTAAGCTATATAAAAATTATCATATTAAGTACTAAATAATTATGATTTATATATTTAATAGTAACCAATCAACTAATGAATTAAAGAAAAATAAAAATGCAATATAATTAAAATTAGATTAATTTAAATCCTATCAAACTTAAGGAGTTGATTTTTATCATAAATTAGAATTTACGAACTTATACTAAAACATATTCGACATTAATTATTTATTTTTTAAAAGTTAATTATCCTAAATTGATTATTATTATTTTTTATAATATAACATATTTAACTAGACTAAGTCTTACTTTTATGATAATTATATCTAATTAAACTCTTTAAGTTTTGCGATGATTTATAATTCTTTAAGAAACATAGCTGACTTTCATGGTTTACGATCTTAATTTCAATCGTGGAGTTTCCAATAACAAAGTTCACCTTTCATTCATTTCCTTTAACATAAAAAAAATCATGTAAATAAGAAGTCTAACAAGTTTACAAGCATTAATACTATCAAGAATTAAATCTAGAAATTAATATTAACAAAAAAACAAAAAAAAATCATCACATTGTCATTAATTCTAATTGGGACTACTCTTAAACCTTAGAATAAGAAAGTCATCATTGACATGAACATTATAAATCAAGAAAAATAAATATATAATGAGAAGAACAAAAATAATAAAAGATAAGAAATATCTTAATTTTTGTCCTTAAAAATATATTAGTCTTATAGATTCTAAAGATTTTTTTTTAAAATCCTACACTCAATGAGTTTTATTAACGTTTTGATCTTATCAAGTTTTAATGGTGGCTTCTTTCTTGGAGTTTAATTACTATCTTAGAGTACTCTTTATTGGAATATCCAAGCTTTAAAAGACTCAATGTTTGAACTTTTAAGAGTTTCCAAAAGTTTAAACTCCCTTCAAAATATTCCATTTTTCTTCTTTATATAGAGTTTTTATAGATAAGCTTTTATTGTTTTTTCATTTAAGTATGTAGAGAGAAAATCCAATTTATTTTAATCAGTGTTGTTTGTACTGTGAACATGTGTGTTTGTTAACACAAGCAAGTAGTTCATTTTTTTGTTCAAAGCTTATTTTTTTAATTTTAAATTCTAAATCTTCTAGGTTTCATTCTTTATATTATAGACTTTGAATTATCTATGTTTTAGCTTCTAAATCCACTCTTCTATGTAATGCATGAATTGCATGCATCAATGAATTCGTAGAGAATGTGATTCCCAATTCAATGAAAAATGATGATAAAATTATGAGAGAAAAAAAACTATAAAGACCGCTAAAGAAAGTGTAATGATTGTAGAAAACTCTACAATCATTATCCTTCTCTTATTCCTCTCTTTGATGAAGATGTTTATAGAATAAAAATTTCTATAAAAGTTTTTTTAATGTTTATTTTTTAGGCTTTTAAGCCTTGTTAAATATATATATATATATTCTTTTTGCACACACAAAGTTAATTTTAATGTAAGACAAAATTTGGTAGACAAAGCCCATAGCAAGTTCAACATTCAAAACACATATTATGAAATTTAAAAAGATTTTTTTTTTATGATATGAAGAGATAAAAGAAAATTTTAAGCTCTAAAATAAAAACTCTCTTAATATCTTCAAGGGAGGAGTCCTCCAAGTATGTAGCTTTTCCAATTGAAAAGCTCCTATCTCAGTAAAATCATCAACACAAGTTTGTCTTGATAAAAAATGTGCTCCATTTTGATGATTCAATCTCTACTCAAAAGTTGACAAATGTTAGGGTGACAAATCATATTTACGAAAGAAAATTTGTCTTACATTACCAAGTCTCATCACATTCAAACAATTAGTAACACACTTTTAAAACTCTTCTAACTAGACAAGAGTAGGACCATTGAAAATTTTAAACAATTGCAACAATATTATCTAATTCTCCAATGTTGCCATAAAATCCAAGCATATATTGGCCAACTCAGTTATGTAATGAACCTCCAAAACTCATTGGATCTAAATTATCAAAGGACCCACCATTAACACAAATGAAGTTTACTGTGAGAAGGGATTAGTGCACCCACCTATAATTTTTAGGAAAGGCAGACTGAGATAGAAATGACAAATTAATGTTAAATTCTAGCTGAAATAAAGATTGTAAGCTATCAATAATAGGTATAACAAAACCTGCAATAGAGTGAGAGTTAGTAATATCGCCCAAATTTGTCAAGCCCTAACAAGAAAACAAAGTCTAAATTTGAAAGTTTTGGCCCTAATCCAGTGATGGTTTGAATGGCTGAAAAATTCTACTTCATTTGAAAGACCAAAAGCATCCCTAAATTGTCTAAATAAAAGACAATTTCTAAAAAGTATCAATATGTGAACAAATTTGTGTGCCAAAATGAGCTCATGTGATTTCCAATTCTAAACGTAAAAGCATATTTTAAAGTTCTGAAAGCATGCTTGATAAAATTTCAAATATGAAAATCAAGAATGGTTTATGCATCAAAATAGTCATAAACTTTATACTTAAAATGAGTAATTACACCAATAGTTTATCTTTATTGTGCATGATATTTTAGACCATCTCCCTAAGTAGTACAATATTCATGAGTCTCGCTTGACAAAGTCCAAGACCTCAATATTTTTTTGCCTTGAGAAATCGAGGATGATCTCATAAGATAAACAATTCGCCCCTCGTTATTGGACCACAAATTTGCAAGATATAATATGAGATTTTAATTTGTAAATATGTAAACTGTGACAAAAACATGCTTAGAAATTTGAAATAACTAACAACAACTTTTTATACACTCACTTTGATCTATCATCTTTTAGATCATGGATCTTTGAAATAGTTTTCAACTATCAATCGTATTTGTAAATATTCTCTTAAAAATAAATTAGCATAATTTAAGATGTTACTAAACAAACATAAAATTTAATATAAAAAGAAGCTTATTAATATCTTAAAATACTCATTTGAAGGAATGGATCATTCCTTATGTGCAAGAAGATTTGTGGATCTTCTATTGTTACTATTTTTTTTTTTTTTTCCTTCTCATCCTTATTATTCCATTTATGATTTAATTGTTCACAAATTTTCATAGAAATCCAATAACCTTTATTAATTTGGTGTTGTACTTTATTTTACATTTAATAGTCTTTTAAAAGGTTTTATGTTCAAATGTCTTTTTGATTTATCTATTATGCTCAAGAGTCTCTCTACATTCACAAGTATAACTAAGTTTATTGAAAAAAGAAATTATTATGATAAAATTATAATTTACAAAAAATAAGCTAATAATATTCAAACATTTGTATTTTCTTTCGCATATTTGAACTCTCTATATGTTTGTAATCTTCATAACTTTGTGTGTGAGTTCAACAAGTTGTTCAAAATTGTATAAGTAAGTTCAAATAAATTGTAACTTAAATATATAATTAATTTCTCAATCTAAAAAAATAGTCATAGATATTTATTATATATTAAAAAATTAAGATAAATTCAAACACATTTGATCTTTACTTCAAATTAGGTTTACACATTTAGGAATATCAATTTTTACTTTCAATTTCTACTGATTATTCGATTCACAAATCTCTTAAAATTTTAATTTTTTTAATGATTGTTTCTTGATTGAGAACAATAATATAAAAAATATTAATATTATATAATTATTAAATAATAATAGAATAATAATACAAGAATTAAATTTTTATCTCATTATTTATATCACAAATATTGTTTGAACAATCTTACTGCTTATTTATTTTAAAAAATATTTGATAATTTATCATTTTATTTTCAACATTAGTTTTCTCCATTTTAATTTTCTTTTAAGTATTTTATGTTTAGTAGTACTTTTTATAAAATAATTCATAAATTAGGTTTAAAGGAGCTTGTACCTTATATTATTTTTTAGGAAGCTCTCTCGTATTTAATTTCTCTTTTAGGCCTTGATGTTATTGGTAGTTAGATTAAGATTCTTCTGATCTTTTGTTTGTTATCAATGTTTAGCCCCTTGATTATAAAAGAAAAAATTGATGTTTAAAATGTATAATTAATCTCAATAGATAAGAAATCATAGTCCAATGAAAATTCCAAAGATAATACAAATGTAAAAACATTGTACATTTAATTTATCCACGTCAAAGTCTCTTTGTGCTCATAAATTTTTCGCAATGCGGTGGCGTATTGAGATCTCAGCACTGCTCTTGTTTTTTGCAGATTTGACTTGATGCACTGTGATTTAATCACATAGCTCTCTTCATCTTCAAGGTGAAATTCCTTCATGGTAGTAATAATACAATTGCTTGCACATAGACATTCATGATATCTTTCTATATTACTGACATTTGTACCAAACAAACTCCAACCTTGAAAACCTGTATCATTGAACACAACTTCCAACATATCTATTGAAGGATTTATATTCTGTTTATTTAAACACATCAACATTATACGATTATCACCCGAGAGTCACAATTTACAAACTTGATTATTCGTAGAAGAAGGAAGTTCAAAATGATTGAATGAACTATTATTCACATTAAATTGAACAATAGTTTTGTTGGCAGTGTTATCAACATCCAAAAAGAAGAGAAATCCTCTTGAATACCAACTTTGAATAATATGTTCATGTACATTAAAGGGTAGATCAGCAGGTGCACTCCAAGAATCATTCGTAGAAGAAAAAACTTTGAACCAAGGCTTAGCACCATCCTCCAATTTTTTGAACACACTAACAATTTTATAATCTTCATTGCCTTCATCATAACATAAACCATCCAAAAGAACACGAGTACCAATCTCAGGCTTGCTATTTGGTACAAATTTATGAACTTTCATGGTAGGATTCCACATAACCAGTTTAGAACTCTCACCATTCGTTCCAAAACGAAAACAAATAATACCATTCAAAGTGTTAATTATATTAAACCATCCGAACCTTGCAACACGAACAGGTAAAGTAACATACCTTTTTGGTATTTCTTTATCAGAAATAGAGATAAGCACCAGTAATCTAGATGGATCCACGTTCCTATTATGTATGCTAATTTCAACAAAGAGTGGTGACTCCTTCGATTTGATATACGCAGTGTGTTTTTCCTTGAAAATTTTTGAAGAAGACTCTTCATTCCAATATTTACTCAAAAGTCTACACTGTGCAGCCTTTTGGGTAGGTAATTTGCAAAAAAATTCAAATAAAATTGAATTAGATAATTCGGAACCCATATCTTTAAAATGTATATTAAAATACACAAAGAAGATATAGAGCGAGTAGCTGATGAAGATGATAAGAACGCGAGAGAAACGAAAGGGTAGTTTTAAAGAATATTTTCCAAGATTCGGTGTTAGTTTATAAGAAAATATTAACATCAAAGAATAAATTTAAGCAATTAAAACTGAATTTTGTGTTAAAAAAGAAAATATTTATCATATAAAAATATAATAAATACCACCTTTTTAAATAAAATTTATCATTTCTACATAATTAAAATAAGTTATAAAGATTAGATTAACAAAATCGAATCTTATATACCAAAATTACCATTCAAACACAAACGGCACTAAAATTTCTAAGAGTTATGAAATTAGTTTAATAAATTAAAAAATAAAAAGATAAATATTTTGGATTTGATATTAAATACTTGAACTTCTAGTTAATTTTTCCGATATTTTTTTTCTGAACTTATGTCTTATGACGTGGGTGCAAAAAGTGAAAATTACTATTTATTATATCTTAATTATTTTAAAAAATAAATAGTAAATATTTTAAAATATTAAATGGTAAAAAAAATTCAATAATTTATATTTTAATTTCTTAAAACATACTTTACAAACCCTTTTTCAAAATCTAAAGACCAAACAAATGTAATGAGTTTTTAGCACTAATGCTTTATATCGGTAGACTAACATTCAGGATACCATACTACGCATTCATTGCTTTATGTTAATTTATTAGTATGCACAAAGTTTCGAGGGAGGCAATTTTTCTTAACATTCAGGGTACCTTATACCATTTTTTCAGAGGTATGTCTAAAGACACACCATAAAAAATTAATAAATAATACATTTATGCTATTAATAATTCTATTTTATAATATCTTATAATTTTTAACAAAAATTTGTTATATATAAATGTTTGTTATGTGTCCATAAAAATCCATTAAAAAAAGTTGTATCCTATATCTATAAAGACTTTCTTGTATAGACCCTTGATTTCGATTTTGGTAACAAAAAATGGGAATGGAAAATTTTAACTTGAAGCTAGGGCTGAGCTAAAAAACTGATCCCGACCAATATCGCTGAACACAAAAATTTATTAGATAAATTGGTTGGATGAAAAATCAGTCAGAATTTTTCAGTAAAAATAAAAATATTTACTTGGGTGCTGATGGTCGGGTTCGGTGTAAATATTAATCTCAATCTATCTTTACGACATAGATTTAATTTTTTTTCATCTATTAATCTCAACATAAAAAATCCTAAACATACCATTATTTTTTTTGTTACTCTTCTGCTCACCTCTCTATTAAGAGTTTTGTTGATTTTCTATTAGAAGGGTTAGTAATTGCATTGGTGAATAAAATAATTGATAAAATACATTGCTCTTTTAGGTTTTTATTTTTAGATTATTTTTATTGATCTTTCTAATATTTAGTTTAAGGTTTTCTCTTCTTTTATCTGAACTTTTTTTAATTTTACATGTTTTAGTTGTGTTAAATTGTTGATGATGAAGATTAAGGTTCAAGATGGAGTGAACAGAGAAAGGTAAAAGTTTTTTTTTTTTTTCACTTTCTTAATTATTCTTTTATGGTCTTTGTAATTTGTAATTTAGGGTTCACTCTTATTTTATGCTTTGACAGTCTTAATTATGTTTTAGATTTTAGTATATTAATAAATTTATCATTTAATAATAAATTATCGTAATATGGTGTTTATTTTTCCTTTGATTGAAGCAATTGAACAAATCTCAGACTCTAAGCCACTATGGATTATGCTGGAGGAGATTGAGGTTGAAGGTGAAAGGGGAAAATTATAACAAGGACAAACCGAGAAGGAAGAGGTGGCAGCTGGATTGGGACTTGGGTTGCATCATCATTGAGGTTTTTAGATATTTTAAATATTTTGAGTTTTTTTTTCTTTCTTTTGGGTATTGTGATTTCTTGAATCTAAGATTTTTAATTTTGTGTGAATCATGACTTAACTTACAACTTGTTCTATTTTACTCATTTTATTGTATTATGATAAATTGAGAATTTGACAAAGTTGTGGTTAATTTTTTTAATTCAATGATGTCTAATTAAAGTCAAATGTGCCTACAATTGTAATTTCTATTTCAGATACAACTCTTATATGTGCTCTGCTTTTTTAAACTCAATGATGGTGGTATGAGATTTTTTATGTTCTATTAATACAGTTCAATGATGCTTGATGACTGAGAAAGATTTTAATTTCTATTTTAAATGTTAATCTTATAACGTTCTTTGTTTCTGAAAACTCAATGATGTTGATATGAAATTTTTTATGTTCTATTAGTTTGGTTTAATGATGTTTAATGGCTGAGAAAAGTTTTAATTCTTATTTCAAGTGCTATTTTTATAATGTTATCTGCTTTTAAAAACTCAATTATGCTTATTTGACACTTTTTATGTTTTATTAGTGTGATTGAATGATGTTTGATGACTAAGAAATGTTTTAATTCTTATTTTATATGTTATTCTTATAAAATTTTTTATTTTTTAAAACTCAATATGCTGGTCTGAAACTTTTTATGTTCTATTAATGTGGTTTAATAATGCTTGATAGCTGAGAAAGGTTTTAATTTCTATTTCAAATGCTACTCTTCTAATGTTCTCTATTTTAAACTCAGTGATGTTGTTCTAAATTTTTTTTATGTTCTATTAATATGCTTCAATGATGCTTGATAGCTGAGACATATTTGAATATCGTATTTCAAATACTCCTTTTTGAATGTCCTTCTCTATTTTTTAGAATTCAATGATGGTGAACTAAGATATTTGCTTTCATTTTCATTTTTTTATTCAATGATGTTGAACTGAAATATAATAGATATGTTTTTGTAATTAAATAATGATAGATTGAGATATTTTTATTTTTTTACTCAATGATGTTGGACAGACTAAGATATTATTTTTATTTCTTAAGTTGGAAGAGAAAATTTTTCCTATTTTTTCTCTCTTTTTTTATTTAATGATGGCTGACTGAAAATCTAAGAAATATTTTCTATATCTCTTCCTTAGTATTCCTTTCTTGTCATTGGCACATTTAGCTTTTCATGTTAGAATTATGAATTGAAGACAAGTTGTAAATTAATTTGAATAATTTAGAAAATCCTATAAGACTTAGAAGTTGTAAAATGTTAGGAATAATTTTTTAAAAAGATTTAAACACTTAATATGGTATGTAGAATTGAAGCAACAATGGAACAATCTAGCCTCAATATGCCTCCTACTTTAGATGAACAAGAGACAACCTTAAATGAAAATGAAGGGGTTTTCAATCATACAAATTCTACTCCAGTAGAAACAAGTGGTAGAGAAACAAATACTTGTGTGCTGCCTGCAGCTATAACTAAAGTTGTAGAGGGTGACCTGTCACAGAATTCGAAGAAGAGAAAATCCAATGCTAGTAGTCATCAGAAAACATCAATGACATGGAACTATTTTACTAAATTATCTGAAAATGAATCAAAAGAACCTAGGACAGCTTGTAAATATTGCAAAAAAGTATATTATTGTGATACTAAGGTACATGGCACGTCTAATTTACTTGCTCACCTTAAAACTTGCTCCAAATATATATATGCTTTAACCAATGACCCTACCCTAACAATCCTTACTTCGAGAAGTGGAGAGATCAATGTAGTTGTTGTTAGTTAAAGGTTTAATGTTGAAGCTTGTAAGAAGGCAGTAGCAATGTTTGTGACCATAGATGAATAACCTTTTAGGATAGTAGAGGGTGAGGGATTCAAGTTTTTATGTAGACAACTACAACCACAATTTGCAGTGCCTTCAGGGCATATTATGGCTAAAGACTGTTTTTGATTATATGCAAAAGAAAAAATGAGGTTGATAGGTTTTTAAAAATCAGATTATTCTAGGGTTGCATTAACCACTAGTTGTTGGACATCAATTAAAAATATAAATTTTTTGACCCTAACTGCACACTTTATAGACAAAGAATGAAATTATTATAAGAAAATCATTAGCTTCTCAACAGTTTATAATCATAAAAGAGAAACCATAAGAAGACATGTGGAGGAGATTTTAAGAGAATGAGAACTTAGGAATGTGTCAACTATCACTGTTGATAATACAAGCAGTAATGATAAGGCTATTACTTACCTAAAAAAGAGAATAAAAAACATGAATGGTTTGGTGTTAGAAGAAAAATTCTTTCATATGAGATCTTGTGTACACATTTTAAATTTAGTGGTGAATGACAAGTTAAAGGATATGCATTCTTCTATTTCAAGATTTCATAATGCTGCTAGATTTGTGAGGTCTTCACCTTAAAGACTATCTAAGTTTAAAGAATGCATAAAGTTTGCTAGGATTCCATGTAAAAAATCACTTTATCTTAATGTTCCAACAAGATGGAACTCAACTTATATGATATTGGATGCTGCTGAAAAATTTCAAGTTGTTTTTAAGAAATTTGAGTTTGAGAATTCAAACTATTTGGATTATTTTGGATTGTTGGTGCATCTCAAGTGTTGATTGGGAGAATGCTAGAGTTTTTGTTAAATTTTTAAATTTTTTTTATGAAGCTGCTCAAGTCTTTTTACCATTTTCACATGTAACATTACATTCTGCATTTCACCAACTTGTCTCTGTCCATTGTGAACTTATGCAATCTGCTATAAACCCAAATTTTGTTTGAGCTCTATGAGATGGGAAATGAAGAAGAAATATGACAAATATTGGGGAAATATTTTAAATATAAATGAACTTGTGTATTTTGGCATTATTTTTTATCCTCGATATAAATTGAGATATGTTGAGTGGTCATTTAAAGATATGTATAGAGATGATCCAATATTTTGTACTGAGCTATCTACAAGTTTAAAGAATAATTTGTCTAGAATGTATAATTGGTATTCTTCTACCCATGAAAAACAATCTAGTCCCATTCCAATGGAAGAGATTTTTTGTGTGCAAAAATATGGTCCTACTGAACTTCCACCATATTTAATAAGGAAAGATGCC